AAAGAAAAGAAAAGAAAAGAAAAGAAAAGAAAAGAAAAGAAAAGAAAAGAAAAGAAAAGAAAAGAAAAGAAAAGAAAAGAAAAGAAAAGAAAAGAAAAGAAAAGAAAAGAAAAGAAAAGAAAAGAAAAGAAAAGAAAAGAAAAGAAAAGAAAAGAAAAGAAAAGAAAAGAAAAGAAAAGAAAAGAAAAGAAAAGAAAACTCACACTGGGCACATGTGCGTGCATTCCCAAAACCATGAGAAGCGAATGGAGGATAAAGGATTGTGGTGTGGCCATTCCTCCTAGGGGTGATTTCTCTCTTTTTCTCTCCCTGTCTCTCTCTGTCTCTCTGGCAAGCACATGAGCCCTATAGCAGAAATCTCTCTCTAAAATAAATGAATGTTTAAAATATTAGAAGAGATCTTGGAAGGAATAGAATATATAAAAGAAGTGATTGTAAAATCTGGTCAGATATGGGGAAAAACAACTATAAATCCTAGAAATAAAAACAATGTAGTCTTTTAAATGGGCCTGAATACCCTAGAGATAGCTAAAGAAAAAATTACTGAATTGGATAATAGAGTCAGGGAAATCAGCCATAATGCAGTCTGGAAAAGACAAAGGGACAAAAAAGTAAAAAAAGAAGTTGAGAAACATGGAGAAAAGAATAAGCTACAACATAAACGTAAGCATTCTAGATGAAGAGAATAGAGAAAACAGGGAGAAGGCACTATTTAAAGAGGTAAAGGCTGAGGATTTTGTAGAACAGAAGCAAGGTAGGAACTCTCAGAGGGATAAAGGCAAGTCTTGAGCAGTATGTAAGCAAACTCCATCTAGACAAATCATGGCGAAGCCATAAAACAATCACAAAAAGAAGAAATCTTTCTATGGGTTTGTTCTTGATCCAGAGCACCCTAAAGTAAGGACTGCCTGAAGCTGCCTCTAACACCTTGTCTAAGTTTTGTCATCTCTAGGTTCATGGGGGTTTTGTCAGAGTGGAGAGGGATGAGAGTAACACTGTGACCTTCAATGGCTAGTTCCTTCCTGAGAAAATTCGCCCTTCACTCACTGTTTCCCAGCCTTGACTTTATGGCCTGCCTTGTTCACCGCGATTGGGTTCCTTGCCCTGTCTCAGTAATAGGCAATCCTCCCAGCTGCGAGACCAAAATTTCCTACCTCACCCCCAACCCTTAGACTTACTTATCTGAAACTGATTTGTTCTTGAATCTCTGACTCCCTGAGTAGTAGATCAGTTCCTCATGCGATCCTTGATTTTTTTTCCACCATCTAAGGCAATATTAATCACAGAGGCGTGCTGAATGACTAATGTATACCAGCACCACCGTTAGGTACTTTCTAAACGCCATAATAAATTTGCAAAGTGGATGCTTCGAGAGGATTTTGAAAGGTTTGTGGAAAAAATGGAATTGAACTATGAGTTTATTTTGGTGCAAAAGTTTTTGAAATCCATGCATAGTTTTTTTTCATAATATGCATTTTTTTAGAGGTTTTCGCTATAGGGCACATGCGCTCGCCAGACAGACAGAGAGAGACAAAGAGACAGAAAGCGAGAAGTCACCCCCCAGGGGGGATGGCCACGCCACAATCCCTTCTCCTCCATTCTCCTCTTGGGATCTTGGGCATGCACGCACACACGCCTGGTGTGAGTTTAAGTCACCAGATCTGGGACTCGAACTGTAGTCAACTAGGTGGGAGTCCAGCGACATAGCCATTATGCTAACTGCTGGTTCCAAGGACTGCTTTTATATTAGTTACTTATTGCTGCGTAACAAATCCTCTAAAACTTAGAGGCTTGAAACTGCAAATAGTACTGCCTCTTACTTTCCGACAAGAATCAGGAGCAGCTCGGCAGGCTGGTTCTGGCTCGAGGTCCCTCGAAGGGCTGCAATAGAGGTGTCCACTAGGGCTGTAGTCATCTGAGTTGGACGGGGCTGGGGGATCCACTTCCAAGCCCATTCACGTGGCTGTTGGTCTGAGGCGTCAGTTCTCCCCCCTTGGGCCTCTCTATGAGGTATAAGGCTCCTTACCTTATAACTGCTTTTCCCCAGAGCAAGTCTTCTGAGTGACCGAGACAGAAATCAGTCTTTTACTAGGGGTCAGCAAAAAGTTCATGGAAAATACCTATTATTAAAAAGAAAAAAGCTATGCATAGATTTCAAAAAATTTTTGCACCAAAATGAACTTGTACTTTAATTCCATTTTTCCATGATCTTTTTGAAATCCCCTTGCACAACCTAAGCTTGGAAGGACACTTTGTCACTCCTGCTGTATTCTATTGGTCACACAGGCCAACTCAAGTACAAAGGGGGAGGGGCCCACAGGAGGATCTGAGGACCAGGAGGCCATCTTGGGGACTGGCTACCACCTAGACCCATTTCAGATGAGAAATCCTACGCGAGCCCGCTAAACTAGCATCATCTGGACTAATAGAAAGCAATTCAGCAAATTCCGTCTTCCAGGAACTAGGCATATGCTCACTTCAACCCCCCATAACCCTAGGAAGTGGGGACCATTTGCCACTTTATATGCGAGGAAAGGAACGCAGGGAAGGTTAGGTAGACTGAGCACAACTCCACGCTCTGAACCACAGCATCGCGGCCATGATGCAGTTCCCACCCTCAGACCCTGGGTTCCCCGGTCTCCACTCTGCAGCGTCCTAGTCCGGCTGTGCATTCCCACGAGTTGGTTTGGATTTGTTTCCGAGGCTGGGTTACTCCCCACGAGCGCTTTTGACCAAGTCTGCGAACGCAGAGGGGGGCGCTGTTGCAGGACGTCCAGCCCGAGGCCCCACCTCACCTCAGGTCTGCCTCTCGGTGGGCTTCGTTGGGCGCAGGTGCGGTGGACCAAGACCGCAGGAAGCGCTTCGGACAAGTTCCAGGAGACGTCGGTGTTCAACGAGACGCTGCGCATCGAGCGCATCGCGCGCACACAGGGAGGCCGCTACTACTGCAAGGCGGAGAACGGTGTGGGCGTTCCGGCCATCAAGTCCATCCGCGTGGACGTGCAGTGTGAGTCGGGCTCTGGCAGCCCCAGGGCTCAGGTGGGGAAGTGTGGGAGGCTGGGGAGTCAGCACCCTGGTGGAGGAGGACCGTAGAGATCATCTCTCTTTAGGACTGGTGTCTCTGCTACCCTCCGCTTTACCTACCAGGTAATGAATAACTTATAATGTGTAAATAACCTGCATCTGTAATTCCATATGGGTTTGGCAGCAGCTCTGTAACATGAGCCGGGCAGGGCCGGCTGGATTATACAGGTGTGGAAACTGGGGTATGAAGGCCATGTGACTTGCTCACTGGGGCAGCCCCAGATCTGAGAGGAGGACACAGCCTCTTCCCTTCCAGAGCCATTCTCCCAGTGCCTCACGTCTCTGCTTTTGTCTCAGGGGCAACTCTGAGACATCCGTGTGCTCCCCTGTGGGACCGTGCACTGTGCAGTCTCTGTGGCTGGTAGGATGGGAAGCCCGCAGGCCCACCTGCCTCCAGGGTATGCCTTTAATGCCAGGAGCCTCCCTCCTGCTTGTCCCCCAGCTCTGTGCCCATCCAGGGTGCACAGGTCCCCAGAAGTGGTAGGTCCTGGCCCAAGAGTTTATCAGGATCCACCTTAAGGCCTAGAACCAGCCTACTGATAAGTATGTACTCTCCCATCTCAAAGTAGGGTCCGGAGGAGCGGTAAGCAGTGAAACCCTGTCCTCTGCTCTGTCCCTCACCAGCCATGCAGGGCCCTGCCAACCCCTGGGGCTGAGGCCGCTTCTCAGGTTACTGGTGCAGGAAGCGGGCGGCAGGCACTGACATCCAGCGCCTGACCCTGGCAGTGACATTCATCCGAGCGGGCTGTGGAGGGGGACAGAGTGACGGGATGTGAAATGTGGATGTTGGGCCCTGTGGTGCACCTCCCTGGTCTGCGTTAGAACCGCCAGGGAGTCTTTTCAAAAACCCTGATGCATGTGTCAAGATAACTGCACTCCCGTGTTACTGCGGCCCTGCGCACACAGCCACCATCCATCCGGACCAACCTGGGCATCCATCGGCAGGTGAATGGACCGGAAATGCGGTCACGCATACGCAAGGGAATACTATTCTGCTATTAAAAAGAGTGAGATCCTGTCACGGGGCATCACGGGCCACCGGGTCCGGGACGCGAACCGCAGTCGACTATATGGGAGTCCAGTGACATAGCCATTGCTAACTGCTGGTCCCAGGAGAGAGGATTTTAAACTGCTCACTACCCAAAGTAATGATCAATGCTGGCGGTGATGGATATGCTAATTCCCTTCATTTGATCATTACACATTGTCCTCATGCACTGAGAAATCACACCGTACCCCATAAATATGTACGATTACTGTCAATTAAAAATAATAAAAATAAGGTATCCCCCTCTAGACAACAATCTCTCCAGAGGCAATCACTATTCTGACTTCCGATGTTCCTGGTCAGCTCCGACAGGCATCAGTAAATCTCTTTATAACTCTATTGCGTAAATAGGGCCAGGAACTACCACCCCAGTCTAACTTTCCAGTGAGAAAACTGAGGCCCAGAACGAGAAGAGACTTGGGCAGGCCACACACAAATTAACAGCTAAGCTGGTACCTGGGCCAGGGTTTCCTGATTCCATTCTGCAGCCACGTCGCTGTCTCATGATGGGAGAGTGTAAAGCTAGACACCTCCATGCCGGTCCTTGGGACCTTGGGGAGGGAGTACGGGGAGCTGTCAGGGTCATTCCCCTGCCTGGATCAGGATGGTCAGGCCTGTGGGACTCTCTGGCTCTCTGGAAGTATCCCTTTAACTCCAGGAGGGTGGCTCAGCTTTCTCTGAGGGCTATCGGGCGTCCCATCACCCAGCCCTGACTCTGGGGACTGTGACCTCGCAGACTTAGACGAGCCAGTGCTGACGGTGCACCAGACCGTGAGTGACGTGCGTGGCAACTTCTACCAGGAGAAGACGGTGTTCCTGCGCTGTACTGTCAACTCCAACCCGCCTGCCCGCTTCATCTGGAAGCGGGGCTCTGACACCCTGTCCCACAGCCAGGACAACGGAGTTGACATCTACGAGCCTCTCTATACCCAGGTCAGGATGGGCAGTTGGCTCACCCCACACTTTTCCTGTCGTACCCAACCAGGAAGGAGGGCCTGAGTCTTGAAGCCCCATGATGTGGAGTTCTTGGGACTGCCCTGGCTTCAGCAATTCTGTTCTGACATTGGGAGCATTCTGATTGAAGTTCAGGGGGGCTGGAGCAGAAAAATCCAGAGCAGAACGGTTGGGGAACAGAGGTGAGGACAGGAGGGTCTACAGGGCAACATGTCGTCCAGGGACATTGCTAGGTAAGGACAGGCATCTCTGGGGACAGGCCAGGTGTCCCTCCCTGCTGCTGGCTGGGACAGTGTTGGGAATGCATGGGCAGGCACAGCGGGAATTAGGCGCAGGGCGATGACCCTTTCCCGAGGCTCCCCTCCCCACAGACTCAGGAGACGGCGGCCATGGCATCTTGCCTCAGAGGGCTTTCAGAGGTGGCTGTCAGAACCCCGTGTGTGGCCCCATGGGCCAGCTCCATGTTTGTAAATTCTAAGACAGAGCAGCGCACCCTCTTCCCCCCTCCACTTCTCAGACTGGGGAAACTGAGGCCTAGTCCTGTCTGGTATGCCAGGGCCATCTTGGATCCGAGGCACTGCTGAGGGTCCGAGAGAGCAGAATCCAGGTCCTGAGCAGAAATGGTGCGGGTGGGGGGGGGCAGTTTAGGAAGAAGAGACTTGGAAGAGGAATTAGCTGTAGTCTCTGTGCGGGGACTGCATGTGCAGGACCCCTGGAGACTCGGGCAGGCCCCTCACCCCGGTGGTCCACTGCTGCCCAGGGCGAGACCAAGGTCCTGAAGCTGAAGAACCTGCGGCCCCAGGACTACGCCAGCTACACCTGCCAGGTGTCTGTGCGCAACGTGTGCGGCATCCCAGACAAGGCCGTCACCTTCCGGCTCACCAACACCACGGGTACAGGCACCCCCTGCCTAAACCCCTGCCCACCCGGCCAGCTCCCCAACTGGGAGTCGGTGCCCCACCCCACACAGGACTCTGGGCTGTCTCAGGTGCCCTGCCTTCTTCCCCTCTGCCTGCCCCCCCCGTTTTCTCCCCTCCCCTAGCCCCCCCAGGTTTCCCCTGCCCCATGGTCTCCTGTCCCTTCCTTTATATCCCCACATCCAGCCCTGCCTCACGGTTCCCTAAGACCCACCTCCTTGTCCCTTAGCACCACCGGCCCTGAAGCTGTCTGTGAATGAAACTCTGGTGGTGAACCCTGGGGAGAACGTGACGGTGCAGTGTCTGCTGACAGGCGGTGACCCCCTACCCCAGCTGCAGTGGTCCCACGGGCCTGGCCCGCTGCCCCTGGGTGCTCTGGCCCAGGGTGGCACCCTGAGCATCCCTTCGGTGCAGGCCCGGGACTCTGGCTACTACAACTGCACCGCCACCAACAACGTGGGCAACCCTGCCAAGAAGACCGTCAACCTGCTGGTGCGATGTACGTGGCCTCGGGATGGTGGGAGGGAGGAAAGTTTCAAGGAAGGTGGAGTCCCTCTTGTCCCGGAGCTACCAGTGAGCTGGGAGATGAGGCCTGCTGAGGAGGTTTATTCCAAGCAGTGTTACTTCCCTGCCGTCCGGCTGTCTACGCAGAACTAAAATTCGTATAAAGCTTTACCATTTATAATCTACATTTCTGAATTAACCATGTACAAAGTAGGAATGGCTGGTATTGATTATCTGCAACCTATTTTTTAGAATTATTTTATTTAACTTTATTTATTTTGTATTTATTTTAATTTGGTCAGAGAGAGACAGAGTGAGAGAGGGAAAGCCAGCTACTGGGTCCAGGTCTTGAACCGTGCTCAGCCATGTGGGAGTCCAGCACCCTTAACCACCATGTCACTTGTTGGCCCCCAATTATCTACATTCTTAATTTTTTTTTTTGAGAGGTTTTTGCTATAGGGCGTGTGCACTCGCCAGAAAGACAGAGAGAGACAGAAAGCGAGAAATCACCCCCCAGGGGGGATGGCCACACTGCAATCCCTTCTCCTCCATTCTCCTCTTGGGATCTTGGGCACGCATGCACATGCGCCTGGCGTGAGTTTTAAGCCATCGGGTCCGGGACTTGAACCGCAGTCGCCTACATGGCAGTCCATAGACATAGTCATTAGCTAACTGCTGGTCCCCAATTATATACATTCTTAATAGTGGGAAACTGAGGCTGAGAAATGGTAAATCTGGACATTCTGTGCTTGAAGAGAAATTTCCTGGCTTGCTCCCTGTACGATTTCAACACGACTAACTGAATTTAAGTGAAAATAACACAGCTTGTCACATGCCTTATATGTAAAGCGTTATGTAGCAAAGCTCTCAGCAACTCTGAAGGCACTAAGTGTCATAATGACACAAAACGTGAAGCACATGCTACAGAAGCACTAACACTTTTCTTATCAAACTTGGCCTCCTTAGTTTTCAGGAGCTGCTCACTACGATCTTGCTTTTGCTACTCTGGTTTAAGGAGAAAACTTCACATTCTGCTGCTGTAGCTTTTTTTGTTTGTTTTTCGATCTAGGCTTGTTTCCACTCTTTAACACTTGAAGATAAGGTACGGCTTCTGCCAAATTAAACCGAGAGTCTCTGATAACAGAAACTCTTTGTTCATCTCTCCCTGACCAGTCAGTCTCTCTGACTCTCCTATAAAAAGCAGCGAGCTGTCTGACATTTCTCTTCATCAGAGCAGGAAAGAAAGTAACGAGAAAAGCTCTATTTCTCTGCCTGTTTCCCTTGGCCCTTAAAACCTGGCTTGGTGAGATCTCAATTATCTCAGATACTTACCTCTTGGAGTGACCGGACAGACACTTTGTCAGCGTAGTCTTCATTCGTGGCTATGTCAGCACCCAACTTAAGAATTGTTGGCTTACTTCAGATAAGAGTCACATTTTTAAAAGAGGCCAGACCCGTTTCTTTCTAACCCTGTATTTTATGTATGAAGTGATTGGTCTCTTATTATAAAAATCATAACAAGAACTTGTTGCCGAGAGTCAACAGCAAAATAAGGTAAAATGTACAAATTAAATTGCCTTTCAGTTCCCTGTAGTTCCACTCCCTAGACAGAACCGTCAGATTCTGATGCCTCCCACCAAATTTGCGCTTTGCATAGTCAAGGTTTAAAATGGCGATACCGATAAAGCAGTGTAGTGGTCGAGGGTGTAGGCTCTGAGTTTGAATTCAAGATTTGGCAGCTTTTTAAAAAAAATATTTATTTATTTTTAAATTTGACCAGAGAGAGACACACATAGAGAGAGAGGGAAAGTGAGAAAGCCACCAGGTCTGGGACTTGAACCGTGGTTGGCCATGTGGGAGTGTCCAGCGCCTTAACCACCATGCCACCTGCTGGTCCCATTGGCAGCTTTTTCACCTACACACTCTGAGCATCAGTTCCCCGCTTTGTAAGAATGGGGATAATAAAGCATCTCCCTCAATGACTGTGGGGTGGGTTAAACGAATGAATCCACCTAAGAGCTTAGAGCAGCGCCGTTCACACGGTGCAGGCTCAGTCGACAGTGGCCATCAGAAACCCACTGGGCTGCAGTGAGCTCTTTTGAAATCTGCAAACACATCTGAGCACGGGGGACAGTTTCCATGCGGATCAAAGTGATGATTTTCCTGGGGAGGAGGCAGGCCTTGAACCTCCAGGAGGGCCAGGTTAAGGGGAGACACAGGGTCGGCGGAGGTGGGACTTGGAGCTTTGGCTTCAGGCCAGCTCCAGCCACCTTTGCCTCCTCGCCCACCGTAGCCATGAAGAATGCCACGTTCCAGATCACCCCCGACGTGATCAAAGAGAGTGAGAACATACAGCTGGGCCAGGACCTGAAGCTGTCATGCCACGTGGATGCAGTGCCCCAGGAGAAGGTGACCTACCAGTGGTTCAAGAACGGCAAGCCGGCACGCATGTCCAAGCGGCTGCTGGTGACCCGCAATGACCCCGAGTTACCTGCTGTCACCAGCAGTCTGGAGCTCATCGACCTGCACTTCAGCGACTACGGCACCTACCTGTGCATGGCTTCCTTCCCGGGGGCACCTGTGCCTGACCTCAGCGTCGAGGTCAACATCTCCTCTGAGACAGGTGGGCAGCTGGAGGGGCACCAGGAAGCAAGGAGGGAGGTACAGGGGCCCACAGAGGGGAGACGGAGGCAGCAGCTTGGGCCAGAGTGAGGAGGACATTGCTCATGCCGCACACATTTATGGAGCCCTTACTCTCTGCCAGGCACTGTGCTGGGCCCTGGGGTAGAGCGGTGGGCAGTACGGGGGCCCTGCCTCGTTGGGCTTAGTAGAAAGGCATACGTGTTTCAGATAGCCTTGCAAACAAATACCACTGCAAACTGTGGCACGTGAGAGTCTGGAAGGAGTTCCCTAACAGAATGTTGGGTCTGAGGTCTGAGGGAGGGCAGGATTTTACTAGGCACAGAGAGCAAGGGGAGGTTAGGGGAAGCCAATGCCAGGAAACCACACCAAGGACTCAGCACGTGCAAAGGCACCGGGGCAGGAAGGCACAACAGTCACTTGCAGGACTGAAAGGAGGAGAGCATGCTGGGAGAATGGAATGAGGTGACAGTGAAGAGGTCAACAGGGGCCACGTTGTGTATTAGTTTGCGAAGACTGCCAACGCAAAGTACCACAGACTGGGTGCTTTGAACAACAGTCATTTGTTTTCTCACAGTTTGGGAGGCTAGAAAGCTAAGATCAAGGTGTCAGCAAGGTTGATGTATTCCTTTTTTTTTTTTAGAGAGATTTTTGCCATAGGGTGTGTGTGCTCACTGGAGAGACAGAGACAGAGAGACAGAAAGTGAGAAATCACCCTCTGGGGGGATTAACCACACCACAGTCCCTTCGTCTCATTCTTCTCTCGGGATCTTGGGCACACACGCACACATGCCTGGTGTGAGTTTCAAGCTACTGGGTCCGGGACTTGAACTGCAGTCAACTGTGTGGGAGTCCAGTAATGTAACCATCACACCATCTGCTGGTCCCAGGGTGGATGTATTCTGAGGCTTCCCTCCTTGACTTGTAGGTGATTGTCTTCCGTGGAGTCTGTGCTCTAATCTCTTCCACTTATAAGGATGCCAGGCATTTCGGATTAGGGCCTACTCTTGCAACTTCATTTCATCTTAATTACCTCTTGAAAAGACACTATCTCCAAATATAGTCATATTCTAAGGTACTGGGCTTAGGATTGCAACATAGGAATTTGGGGGGAATACAATTCAGCCCAAAACCTAGGCCGTGGTAAGATTTGGGGGTTCATTCCAAAAATACTAAATAACAATAATGAAATGATAATGGCTACTCTTTTTACCATGTGTTCATACTATGTGTTTGGACCATTTTATGTTTGTCTACTTGCTTCTGTGATTTACATTAGGGGGTAGTAGTTTACCTTTTTATTTTATAGAAGAAGAAACTTAGGTTCAGAAAGTTTGAGAAACTTACCTAAGGTGACACAACAATAAGTGGCAGAACTGGGATTTGAACCCAGGCAGTCTTGGTATTTCCAGGGAGATTGTTCTGTACACATGGATCCTGCAGCTGGGACACCGGGTAGGGGAGGAGCGAGGAGGCTGGGAGCGACAGAGGCTGGAGTGTGAGGGCCGTGTTTGCAGAGTCAGGGAGTCCAAGCTTTAATCGGAGGCAGTGAGCCTCCAAGAGAGAGGCAGCTCTTTACCAGCGGGGGTGCAGAAACGCTGGGAGCCGGGATGTGTCAGAGACAGAGACGGGAAGGGGCCCAGGGCTGTTTCTCCATTTGGCTTATAGGCCTGATGCCTAGGGCATGGAAGCTTTTTAAGGGCCTGTGGCAGCTGTTCTGACCTGGAAAAATAAATTAATTGGCTCCAAATACACAGAGAAAACTGCAAAACAAGCCAGCAAATAGATGTTTATAGAGTATAAATTATGCTAATTAGATAACTGGACCTCAGCCTGCCTTGTAGAGTTATTTACAAATAATAACTTCGTGTTTAATTATATTTCATGGTAAATATTTAATTTTTATGTTAAAATCCATGGGTGCATTTTAGTTTGTTTGATGTGATGCATATGGGACCCATGGAAGTCTTCAAAAGACCCTCCATTTGAGCAACGTGCTGTTGGATTGGAGTAGGTTTGGCTGTGAATAACGAAAGAACCCGAATTAATAGTGGCTTAAACGGGCCAAATGTGTATTTGTCCCTTATGTAAAATCTGCTGGGTCAATCTGGAGCTCAGTGGTTAAGGGATCTGGATCCGGCATTGCCTGGCGTGGTTCAAATCCTGGCCCTAGCGGCTGGAAAAACATACAGAGTACATATGCATGTGTGCCCAAGATCCCGACAGAATGGAGATGGAAGAGAAGGGTTTGCAGCGTACCGCACTTCACTGAGGGTCTCTTTCTCTCTGGTGGACACACATGCCTTCTGGCAGTAAAAGAAAAAAAAGTCTTTGGGGAGCAGTTTGGGCTCTTTGCTCCACCAGGTCCTCAGAGCCCCAAGCTCCATCTGTGCTGCTGTTTTACCATCCTCAGCATGTGCCACCTTGTCCATCAATCAATATACATCCTGGCATTGAGGAAGAAGAGGGGTGTAGCCTTTCTTTAAAGACTTTATTTTTCCTCAAGGTTGATTGGCCAGAATTTAGTCATATGACCACAGCTAGCTGTAAGGCAGGCTGGGAGATGTAGTCTTCATTCCAGGTGGCTGTGTGCCCTGCTAAAAACCGGGGGTTCCGTTAGTTTGGAGGAAAGAGTAAGAATGTTGGGGGACACCAGCAGTCTGACAACATTCAAGGCAAGAGAAGACGAAGGCTTTAAGTGGGGCAGGGCCAGGGATAGGAGAAGGGACTGAGAGAATGGAGGTGTTGAAAGGGTGCAGTCCCCCGTCCTGAGTAGTGCGGGGGAGGAAGAGGCCAGGCTGGCTTCAGGTCTCTTCTTGAGCTGGGGGACCCTGAGGTAGAGGCCGGAAGGTGCGAGGCTTTGGAGTCACTGAGGGCCCGGTGGGAGGTCTGGGAGCTCTAAGGCCGCCCTTCCTCTGCCCCTCCCCGCCCGCAGTGCCGCCCACCATCAGCGTGCCCAAGGGCAGAGCGGTGGTGACCGTGCGGGAGGGCTCGCCTGCGCAGCTGCAATGCGAGGTGCGGGGCAAGCCGCGGCCGCCGGTGCTCTGGTCCCGCGTGGACAAGGAGGCTGCGCTGCTGCCCTCGGGGCTGCCCCTGGAAGAGACTTCCGACGGGAAGCTGCGGCTGGAGCGCGTGAGTCGCGACATGAGCGGGACCTACCGCTGCCAGACGGCTCGCTATAATGGCTTCAACGTGCGCCCTCGGGAGGCCCAGGTGCAGCTGAACGTGCAGTGTGAGTCCCACCACCCAGCCCGGCCCGCGCCCTCGCCCACCTCAGTCCAGCCAAGCCCCTCCACCTACCTCGAAGTCTCCTTGACGCCCGTGTCCCTTGCCCCACTTCCATCATCAAATGCCCCCTCTTCGTTTTCAGTAACCCAATCAACAAAGAAGTGACTTGATTCTGACAGGTGGAGATGGGATTTCGAAGGGGGAAGGACCCTCAAAGGGGAGCACAGAGTAACTCACCACGCGCCACACACTGTTCTAAGAGCAGTTTAACGCTCTAACTCATTGAATCCGTCACAGCTCTATGCCTAGGATCTACTGTTCCCCCATTTTTACAAACAGGGAAACTGAGGCAGAGTGGTTAACTAGTCTAACTAGCGGTTAACTGACAGCTAGATGGAGGCTGCATTGGGATTGAGTCTAGCCCTAGTGACCACCCTCTAAACCCCGACGTTGGGCTGCTTTTCATTCGGCGGGAGCGAGAGCCCACTTCCGGTGTGACTAGCGGTCCAGGCTAGGATGCATGCCTGGAGGGAGTGGGAACCCGGGGTCCGGGAGGTGTGGGGCGGCTCTTGTATGAATGTGTTTCTGGTGTGCATCCCCCTTGGAGATGCTTCCAGGCTGGGGGGTGGGGGTCACGGGAGTGGGGACGAGTGTGTGGCCGTCCCCTGGAGGCG